TACAGAGAGGAAGGGAGAGAGATAGAGAGTTAGAAACATCAACGGGAGAGAAACATCGATCAGCCGCCTCCTGCACATCTCCCACTGGGGATGTGCCCACAACCCAGGCACATGCCCTTGACCGGAATCGAACCTGGGACCCCTCAGTCCGCAGGCCGATGCTCTATCCACTGAGCCAAACCGGTTTCAGCTGAAGCAGTAATTTAAAAACTTCCAGCAACAAAAGCCCTGGTCTGAAAGGCTTCACAGGGAAGTTTTACCAAACAGTCAAAGAAGAACTAACACCTATCCTCCTCAAAGTATTCCAAAAAATTCAAGAGGAAGGAATACTTGCAAGCTCTTTTTATGAGGCCAGCATTACACTATTTCCAAAACCAGATAAAGCAACTATATCCCTTATGAACATAGATGCTAAAATCCTCAACAAAATATTAGCGAATCGGATCCAGTAATACATTAAAAAGATCATACACCATGACCAAATGGGAGTTATTCCAGGGATGAAAGGCTGGTACAATATTTGCAAACCAATAAATGTGATACATCACATAAACAGATTGCAAGACAAAAATCACATGATCAGCCACTGTTGTTCAACATAGCACTGGAAGTCCTAACCATAGCAATCAGAGAAAAAGAAAAAAATAAAAGGCATCCAAATTGGAAAGGAGGAAGTAAAACTGTCATTAAATGCAGATAACATGATGTACACAGAAAACCCTAAAGACTCCATCAAAAAACTACTAGATTTGCCCTAGCTGGTTTGGCTCAGTAGATAGAGAATCAGCCTGTGGACTGAAGGGTCTTGGGTTCGATTCCCAGTCAGGCAAATGCCCAGGTTGTGGGCTCAATCCCTAATGGGGGGCATGCAAGAGGCACCTGATCAGTGATTCTCTCATCATTGATGTTTCTCTCTCTCTCTTCCTCTCCCTTCCTCTTTGAGATCAATAAAAATATATTGAAAAAAAACAAACTCCTAGATTTGGATGTGAGGGCAATCTGGCTGCAATATTTGTCACCCCATTAATCCCCAGGGTTGATTTGGCTGATCTGGCTGACTAGGCGGGTGTCCCCCTCCTCCCTCACCAATCCATGTGCGTCCCTCCCGAAGCTGCGTGCTCAGTTGAAAAAGACTTGCTCAGTGAGAAGAGATGACCTTCGCTCCAGCGGACAGGACCTGTCTTTAGTCAAGAGTATACAAGAAGCTGCACTCCCCTGCTAGAACCTCCAAACAATCTCTCAAAAAACGACTAGATTTAATAAATAATTTGGCAATGTAGCAGAATACAAAATTAACACCCAGAAATCTATGGCATTTTTTTTTACACCAATAATGAACTCTCAGAAAGAGAAACTAAAATAAAAAAACAAAACAAAAAAAAACCCATTTACCACTGCAACAAAAAAAAAAAAATCAAGAAACTTAGGGTATATACTTAACCAAGGAGGTAAAAGACCTGTACTAGGAAAACTACAGGACGTTGAAAAAAGAGAGAGAGGAAGACACAAACAAGTGGAAGAATATACTGTGTTCATGGATTGGTAGAGTCAATATCATTAATATGCCCATACTACCCAAAGCAATCTATAGATTCAATTCAATCCCTATTTAAATACCAACAGCATATTTCACAGATCTAGAACAAACACTCCAAAAGTTTATATGGAACTAAAAAAGAGCCTAATAACCGCAGCAATCTTGAGAAAGAAGAACAAAGATGGAGGAATCACAATATCAAGTTATCCTATAAAGCCACTGTAATCAAAACAGCCTGGTACTGGCACAAGAACAGGCATATAGATCAATGGAAGAGAACGGAGAACCCAGAAATCAACCCAAGCCATTATGTTCAATTAATATTTCACAAAGGAAGCAAGAGCATACAATAGAGTAAAGACAGTCTCTTCAATAAATTGTGTTGGGAAAATTGGACAGGTACATGCAAAAAGATGAAACTAGACCACCAACTTACACCATACACAAGAATAAACTTGAAATGGATAAAAAACTTAAATGAAGTTGTGAAACCATAAAAATCCTAGAAGAATCCATAGGCAGCAAAATCTCAGACATCTCTCATAGCAATATGTTTACAGATACTTCTCCTAGGACAAAGGAAACTAAGGAGAAAACAAACAAATGGGACTATATCAAAATAAAAAACTTCGGCACAGTGAAAGAAACCATCAACAAAATGAAAAGGGAGCCCACTGCATGGAAGAACATATTTGCCAATGATACATCCAATAAGGGGTTAATTTTAATATATAGGAAACTCATACAACTTAACAAAAGGAAGACAATCCAATTGAAAAATGGGTAAAGGACCTAAATAGAGACTTCTCCAAAGTGGACATACAGAAAGCCAAGAGACATATGAAAAAATGCTCAAAGTCACTAATCATCTGAGAGATGCAAATTTAAACACACTGAGGTATCACCTCACACCTGTCAGAATGACTATCATCAACAAACTACAAGTGTTGGCGAGGATGTGGAGAAAAGAGAACCCTTGCACACTGCTAGTGTGAATGCATATTAGTGCAGCCATTATGGAAAACAGTATTGCGTTTCCTCAAAAAATTAAAAATGGAACTCTCATTTGACCCAGTGATCCCACTTCTAGGAATATATCCTAAGAAACCAGAAACACCAATCAGAAAGGATATAGGCACCCTTATGTTCATACCTGCACAATTTACAATAGCTAAGATTTGGAAACAGCCCAAGTGCCCATCAGCAGATGTGTGAATAAAAAAGTTGTAGTACATCTACACAATGGAATACTACTGTAAAAAGGAAAGAACTCTTAGCATTTCCAACAGCATGGAGGGACCTGGAGAGAATTATGCTAAGCGAAATAAGCCAGTCAGAGAAAGATAAGTATCACATGATCTCACTCATATGGAATCTAATGAACAAAACAGACATAGAAGCACGGAACAAACTGGAATCTCAGAGGGAATGGGAGGCGGGAGGGGAATAGAAGGAGATCAACCAAAGAACTTGTATGCATACATGTATAACCCAGGGACACAGACAATAGGGTAGTGAAGGCCTTGGGCGGGCTAGAAGAGGTCAGTGGGGGTGGGGAAGGGGGGTATGTAGTACTTTCAACAATAACGACTTAAAAAAGGTGTGTGGGGGGTGGGGGGGGGGGATTCAGGTTGCCTTTCTGCCAAAGAACTTGAACTGCCTTCATTTATATTCTCTTTCCATTTTAATGTGGCAGAAGGGGCTAGAGATAGAGGAATCAAAAGCATTGCTGTTAACAGTCCTTTTTAACAAAAAAAAGGAGTACCATATCTCCTCAGCAGCAAGGCCGGGACTAGAACCTGTAGCCACCCCCCCCCCCCCCCCGCGCCCCCCCCCCCCCCCCCCCCCTGTCTAACACATTTTCGTACCTCCGCACTTTATCTGGAAGAATAACTTAACAAATGCTATTCTAGTTTCATGCAGAAAGCGGAGCCGGCACTCCTCTCGACTGCTGACATCATATTAATTTTAAAATTCTGGTCTCTCAAAAGCGTGTTTCCCTCTGGCGATGATCCACTCAGCAGAAAGTAGGATGAAAACGGGGACCGGGCCGATTCCCTTTCACTTGTCAAGGATGCACTAAGTACTCCCGGAGCATTTGATGCTAAAGAGGGTCTGTACTGTGGCCGAAGTGGGGCAGGAAACATCCGCAGGTTCGCGCTGCAGTGAGACGGCGATCGTGGTCACCGGCAAGAAGCAGTCAGGGCGCGGGCAGAGGTAGGAATCCGGCCTGGCCCGCTCAGGTGGACCGAGGGCACCGGGACGTAGGAAGGTGACCGCGGAGCATGCGAGAGGTGCCCGGGCCTGGCTCGACCGCCCTGAAACGACTTGGGAGGCAAAAGGCACCCAGGCCGACATGGTGCCCAGCTGCGGGCGCTTCCCCCGGCCCCCGGCCCCCGACCCCTGTCCAGGAGCAAGCAGAGAACTCACCTGACGCACGCACTCTCACCTCTTCAAAGCCGCCAGGCCAGAAATCAGGTCTCAAGCGCGGGCGTTAACCGCCCTGGGCGAACGCTCGTGGGCCTCGTGGGCCGTGCCACCGGACTACAACTCCCAGGATGCACTACAACGGCTGGATGCCGTTTCTCGTCAGCGTCGACAGATATCCCAGCCAATAGACAGGAGAGCCTGCCCTCGAAGATCCAATCCCTCTGCGAAGAAGGCGGCTCTCCCGTGGCGTAGTTCCTCCGCAGTAAGTGGGCGTGTCTGCGGCAAGAGGTTCTGCCCCGCCTCCAGCCCTGGCTCCGGGGTTTTGGTTTCCTGATACTCTGTGAGGTGAGTCCGCTGCTGGTGGGCGCGGGGTACAGCCAGTGGGCGACGCTGCCTTCCCAGGGGCCAGCCCGGGCTTGTAGGCGGCCGCGAAGTTGAGCCGCGCCCGGAGTGCGGGAGCTTCGTCAAGCCCGGGGCCAGCTGGGGCGCGGAGCCCGAGCCGGGCTTTTTCGGAGGCCGGAGCGGCTGGGCCTTCCGAGCCTCTGGAACGAGCCACCCCCGGGTCTCCGACGCCTCTGCTCGCAAGTAGGAGGCCTTCGCTGACTCCCACCCCCGGCGCACGCGGCCTCCTCGGGTCACCCCGAGGTGGCGCCGGGTGAGCTGCTGGAGGTCTCCTAACCAGAATTCGGGACAGCCGGTGCCGGTGTCTGACAGCTTGAACTTTTCCTAGGTCATGCTGCGCGTTTCTTCTGAGACTTCGCGCGCTCATCGGTGAAATAAAAGCAGTATTTCCCCACAGTTTCCTCTGAAGATTTTCTGACTTTTCTCCTTCACAAGATAGTTCTAGAAACTATCGGAAAGACAGACGCTTTCCACTCCCAGGGACTGTGTTGCCTTCAGGAGTCTGGAGTCAAGGCCAGTGAATGAGAAGGGCCTGTCTGCATCCTGTCCTCAACACCTTCAGGAGAACTTCGTTTCTAGCGTTTAGAACGACTTCTCCAGGGCTATGATCCCTCAGGCTTGAGCTGTTTTCGAGGAGAAAAAAAAAAAAGCTGTCTCCTGATCCCCAGAATGGCAGCTAAGATGGAGATAACGCTGAGCTCTCAGTCCCACATTCAGGCTTCTTCCAAGCAAGAGAGACACATCATAGCAAAGCTAGAAGAGAAGCGGGGGACGGCTCTGCAAAAGGACTGCCCCAACCCTGAGGCCTCTCGCCAGAGCTTTAGACGGTTTTGTTATCAAGAGGTGTCTGGACCCCAAGAAGCACTCTTCCGGCTCCGGCAACTCTGCCGGCAGTGGCTGCAGCCCGAGCTGCACACCAAAGAGCAGATTCTGGAGCTGCTGGTGCTGGAGCAGTTCCTGAACATCCTGCCCCCCGAGATCCAGGCTCGGGTCAGGCATCGATGTCCAATGAGCAGCAAGGAGATGGTGACTCTGGTGGAAGATTTTCACAGAGCAGCCAAGAGACCAAAGCAGTGGGTAAGGAGGGTCTTCTTTGATGGTCCCTAGGATTTTTCTTTTTTCTTCCCCGTCTGGATAATGTTTGGTTTCTGGGCCCTCCCTAATCAGAGCCCAGAAATGGACCAGATGGCTTCAAACATGTTTTCTGGCCTCTATTTTGGGAACATTTCCCCTACCCCCAGATGTACCAGGTTTTCAGAAAACCCACCCATGGGCGCTTCCATGACAAAGTGGAGGATCAAGTAAGGTTATTGAGCCTTTGCTGACAGATCTCCCCTCTGTTCCTTTTGAAGGTTTCCTACCATCAGGATTCTTAGCAGATAGTGTAATCCTGTTGGGTAGGAATTTGATTTATGAGGAACTTCACTGAACCTTGTTCTAGTCAAGTGTCTTGCATATTGCCTTTGGATCAGGAAGTCACAGCTCAGTTGGCTAGTATCCCTTTCAACCCTCACCCTCAAAGTCAGACCAAAGCTGGATCCTCAGCAGGAAGCAAACAACCATGTGCTTTGGGGAATGGAAGCAGTTAGGGAACAGGAGTGGGGCAGTCCTCTTAGAGCCTTGGGCAGAACAATTTATTAGGTAAAGATGGTTTTTAATGGCCCTTACTACACTGCTTCCCAATTCTACAGAGCCTGTTTTCAGGAGTAGTAGGGAGGCAGGTGGGCATAGGGTGGGAATCATGACTGACCCTGTTGTCTGCGCCTGCTCTTTAGTGACTTTGATTCCAGGCCTTGAGCAAGGCCCAAGCTTTAGGATTCTCCACTCAAGAAGTATTGGCTGATTTGAAGCAGCCTCATTCTGGTCATTTCCCATGTCCTTCCCTGTGTTTTCTTTGAGAGTTTCAGCGATCTCTATCAAAGGTGACCTCCAGTACATTATCAGGAATTCCCAGGGTCAGGGGTCCTTACAGAGCAGTGAGAGGTCAAGCTGCCTGAGTCAGTCCTCTGGCTGCACTCTAATGCATGGGGCTTGTTCCTAGGTGGCTGTTTGTATGCAGGGGCAGAAAGTGCTCTTGGAGAGAACTGGATCTCAGCTTGGAGAACAGGAACTGCCAGACTTTCAACTGCAAACTCCTAGGAGATATCCTAGGGAAAACTGTTTGGAGGAGCCTTTCCAGGCAGGACTTCAGGACCAGTTTAGCCTCCATCAGTGGGAAAAATCCCCACTCCTTCTGGAACCAGCCACCAAATTGGCTGGGACAGGTAAATGCACTGTGCCTCCTCTCTCCCTCTCATCAGTCTTCATCTCCATCAAAGCATTCATGGTTGTGAAAAGCCATAGACAAGATGATGATTTTTTTTAAAATGTTGTATGTAATTGTAGATCTTTATGCCTGAAAAATTTTCACTGATTAGAATGGTAGTGGTATGCCCAGGTGGTGTGGCTCAGTGGTTGAGCATTAACCTATGAACCAGGAGGTCACAGTTCGATTTCTAGTCAGGGCACATGCCCGGGTTCCAGGCTTGATCTTCAGTGTGGGGCATGCAGGAGGCAGCTGATCAGTGATTCTCTCTCATCATTGATGTTTCTATCTCTCCCTCTCCCTTCCTCTCTGAAAGCAACAAAAATATATTTAAAGAAAAACGAATGGCAGTGATACTACACATGAGAACTATGTTTTTATTTTCTGTTAATGACTATTTGACAATGCAGTACACAACAAGACTGTTCTAGTGCTTTTCTGTCCCTTTTAGGGCTTCCTATATAGTGCAGACAGATCCAAATATGACCACTGACTAACTTTCATGCAAGCTGAGTTTCATCACTTAAAATGGTCCTCTACTAGTATTTAGAAGGGGCCTACACAATGTTCTTTTCATTAGAGAAAAAGCCCACTCCATATTATTTTCTGCCTCCTTCTCCTATGACATTTTCTATGCTTTAAACTTTTGTGTCCACTTCCTTACCTGTCTCTGGTACAATGCCAGTATAACTCTCAGCCGTACTCCACACAGCCCTGTGACTGCTAAAACTGAATGACAGTGACCTTTGGCCAGTCTTGGTGAAGTAAATATAGGATACAGTCAGCAAGTTAGAGAGTTACAAGAAAACTAGAGCCTTGATCCCTTCAGATTTGCTACAGTCAGTGAAACACTTTGATTTCATTATTCTCAGAACTCAAGAATGAAGAAGAATTGGGGCATCCAATAGAAAATCAGTGTGACCCTGGCTGAGGTCCTGCGCCATAATCTATGGCCTTCGTGGACCTGAATAAAGTGGACCACACACACTTCCTTCCCCTGGCTCAGCAAAGGCAACTGGCTGTGTGTGCAGTATCTTCCTTCATTTGTAGATTCTCATGCTTCTCATCCCTAAGATCCAACAGTGTCTTCCTTCAGAGCTGCACTGTGCAATATAGTTGCCACTAGCCACATGCAACTGTGTAGATGTTGTTTATTGAGATATAATTCACATACTATAAAATTCACCTTTTTAAAGTGTGAATTTTAGTATAATTACAGTGGTTTTTAGTATAATTACACAGTTGTGCAACCATCACCACTAATTTCTGAATATTTTCATAATCTCAAAAAAGATACCTATTAGCAGTCACTCTCCATCCCTTCCTCTCTAATCCCTGACAATCACTGTCTACTTTCTGTCTCTTGATTTGCCTATTCTGGACATTTCATTGTCCAGCATCATGTAAAATGTGCTCTTTTATGATTGGCTTTTTCACTTAACATATTTTCAAGGTTAATCCATATTGTAGCATGTATCAGTACTTTATTCCTTTTTAAGGCTAAATGATATTTTATTAATGGACATTTTGTTATCAGTTGATGGACATTTGGGTTTTCACTTGGGGGTATTATGAATAATGCTACTGTGAATATTTGTATACAAGTGGACATGTTTTCATTGCTCTTAGGTATGGAGTGGAATTACTGGGTGATATGGCAATTATGTTTAACTTTTGGAGGAAACACCAGACTGTTTTCTAAAGAGGCTGTGCAATTTTACATTCCCAACAACAGTCTATGGGGATTCCACTTTCTTTACATCCTTGCTAACATTTGTTACTGTTGTCTTTTTTATTACAGCCATCCTAGTAGGTGGGAAGTGGTATCTCGTGGATGTTTTGAGTTATTTCCCTAGTAACTAATGATGTTGAGCATCTGTCCATGTGTTTATTGGCCACTTATATATTCTTTGGAGACATGTCTGTTCAGATCCTTTGCTCATTTTTAAATTGAGTTAGTCTTTTTATTGTTGAAAGAGTTCTTTACATATTCTGGATACTAGACCCTTATATAGAGTTTACAAGTGTTTTTCCTATTCTTTGGGTTGTCTTTTTACTTTCTTACTTTTTGTTGTTAATCCTCACCTGAGGATCATTTTCTCCATTGATTTTTAGAGAGAATGGAAGGGGAGGGAAAGAGACAGACAGAGAAAAAAAACATTGATGTATGAGAAATACATTGATCGGTTGCCTCCCACTCAAGCCCTGACCAGGGCTGGGGATGGAACCTACAACACAGGTTCGTGCCCTTGACTGGAAGTTGAACTTGTGATTCTTCGGTGCTTGGGCTGACGCTCTAAACACTAAGCACACTGGCCAGGGATCTTTTTATTTTCTTAGTAGTATTCTTTGAAGCACAAATGTTTTTTATTTTAATTAAGTCCAGATTATCTGTTTTTTTCTATATCTGCTTATGTTTTTGGTCACATATGTAAATTACCATTGCCTAATTCAAAGTCATAAGGATTTACATCTATATTTTATTTAAAGAGAGATTGGTTTAGTTCTTACATTTAGGTCTTTGATCCATTTTAAATTAATTTTTGTATATGCTATAAGGTGGGGATCCAACTTCCTTCTTTTGCATCTGGAAATCCAGTTATCCTAGCACCATTTATTGAAAAGACTATTATTTCCCCATTGAGTTGTCTTGTCAACCTTGTTGAAGAGCAATTGATTATAATTGCATGGGCTGCTTATTTAAATTAATTAAACGTGTAAAATCCAGTTTCTCACACTAGTCACATTTCAAGTACTCAGTACCTGCATGTGGCTAGTGGCTGCTATATTGAATAGCACTTGCACACACGTACACACACACATATTGCCTACATGTCAGGAATTCTATGGGATAACACAGCTCTGGATCCTCTGACTAGCCCACAGCTATTCCAGCTAATTTCCATCCTGATTCTCAATCCTGTTGGTTAGAAGTTGGGTAGTTTCTGTAAATAGGATGCATATCTAACCCATATTCCAGGTTCCAAACACAAATGCTGTCAATTTTATAAGGAAAGGAAATTACACATTCATTGGATTTACCATTATTTGAAGAGAAAGTGGTGGTCATTCAATGTCCATGAAGAGAGAGTGAATTTGCAAAGTTGACATTCCAACTCTCTTCTTTTTATTCCTTAGTTGATACTCAGGCCTTTGGGTTTGCTTTTCCCTATTTCTCCTTTCCTAAGCCTTTCCTAAAGTTAGGAAGAAGGGAGGAGGTTGGAAAACTTGGTTCCTAACTTTAACATAAATTTCCAGGTACCACCCCCCAAAGATTCTGACTCAGCAGTCTGCTTGTTCGGTAAGTGCTCCAGATGAGTCTAATGCAAGTCGCCAGTGGAGGACCACAGATTGAGAAACCTTACAGTATATTTCATAACTCTTTTGCTGAGGTTCTTTCTTTGAAGCCCAAAATATGAAACAGATTCTTTCTAATTATAGAGGCCCCCAGAATGAAAAGTGAGAACAAGGAGAATCCACAACAGGAAGGTACTAAAGGAGCAAAGCCATGTTCAGTGTCACCCAGCAGACCCAAAGGGAATCGTCTGCAGAGTCCTGATCCAAGAGGGGCAAATATGAGTGAATCCCGGTTGTCACGAAGGCAGGTCAGCCCCCCAAATGCTCAAAAGCCATTCACTCACTTCCAGAGACATTACAGGGAACTGGAATATATCAGCAGCCCCCTAAAAAACCATCCACTGAGAGAGCTGAAGAAAAGCAAAGGAAGTAAAAGAAGCCTGAACAGTCGTTTGCAACGTCCAAGTCACCAGGCGACCCACTCAGTGAAGAAACCTTACAAATGTGATGACTGTGGGAAAAGCTTCACATGGAATTCAGAGCTGAAAAGACACAAGCGAGTCCACACAGGGGAGAGACCCTATACCTGTGGAGAGTGTGGCAACTGCTTTGGGCGTCAATCAACTCTGAAACTGCACCAGCGGATCCACACTGGAGAGAAGCCGTACCAGTGTGGCCAGTGTGGGAAAAGCTTTCGCCAGAGCTCAAACCTTCACCAGCATCACAGACTTCACCATGGGGACTGAAAGCAGAGCTTTGGTCTTTCTGTTCAGAAGGAAGGTATTCATGTTTCTCCTTCCCCTTAGTTGCATATAAATTATAAAGACTGTCTGTGGGACTTACAAGGAATGCAGGAGGTCCCTGAAAAATGACAGTGTACATTTCGCTGGTGAGGGATCCCAGAAGAAGCTGTTGGGAACATGACCATGCACGGTGACAGGGTGAAGAAATGGCAGGTCTGAGCACTGATTGAAAGGGAACTGGGATCTCTACTGGAGAGTGGGGCATAACTACTGAAGGAGCATCAGGATGATCCTGCAGATGTCCCTGTCCCATGTTAAATCTTTTCTGCACTGCTTTATTTATCCTCAAGGGTATATTCTATATATAGTTATATATTTGCTGTTATACCAGGCAATCTTTATCATGCACACACTTTAATAAAGATGGGTGATACACAAGAATTTCAAGGCAAAAGTTCATTGGAATATAAATACCCTAGTATTCTTTCTGTAATTCCTGGCTGTTCATAACAAAGGACACATGAAGGGAGAATATGAACATACTTGTGTGAGGAGAGGGTTTCTAAGTAATTAGTGCTTTTACCACACACACACATATTGAGGGATCTTTTTTATATCAAAGCACCCTTAATTTAGGAAAAGAAAATCTACACAGCTACTGCAATCCTGTCCAAGGGATAGGGAAAAGCTACAACCAGGAGCAAGTAGTGGATGTAGACTGCTAAGCAGATGTCACAGGGAATCCTTACGACTCTCCTTTCTCACGTGCCAGTAGCTTTAGGAATAACAGAATAATTGGGGTAATGAAAAAGTTTTAAAAACTGAATTATTTCAGTATGTTTACTAAGAATTATTGAAATGGGTTAATTATATATGTAATTAAGCCAAAATGAAGTTTCTGAAAATAACAAAATATACTTATATAAGATGTTAAAGTCCTGGAACTAGGCCTGAGAGATTATCTAATCCCATTCCTTTATTCTCTCATAGTGGAAATTAAAATGCAATTATAATGCAATTTTTAGTTACCCTGGGCAAACCAGCTGATCCCCCAGTTGAGAGAAAACTTTTGGTAGATAGGTGCACTATCTCATGCAGAAAACTGGTACGTAGCATTCTTCCTAAAGCATCAGTATCCTAAAGTCACTCCTAGTCACCTCAGGACTGTGGCTTGTGCTGTCATTACCTCCCTCCCCATTACATTCTTCCTTACAGCAGAGGGTCAAGTGCACATACCTGCATTCCTGCTTTCCAGATATTTGCACATAGTTTCCTTTGCCTTTAGACCCTGCAACACATACCCCCCTTCCATCCTCTCACTTCACAAGAGTTGCCTGCTCTGCAAATCCTTCTCTGACAAGTTCTAGGCATACTTAGACTTAATGGAATGTCACTCCCTACACCATTCTGCACACCAGTGGTGCTCAAACTGGGAGTACATTTTGCCCCCAAGAGGAGATTTGGCCAAGTCTGGAAACATTGTTGGGGAAGGAAGGATAGCTCCTGGCCCCTCGTGCGTGGAGACCAGGAGTACGGCTAAATATCAGACAGTGCACGGGATGGCCCCCACAACAGAATTATCTGATCCAAAATGTCAATAGTGCTAGGGTTGGGGAGCTGTATCATACAGGATAAAAGATCTTTAAGGACAAGAACCTGTTTTACCACCATTTTAGCTATTGGACTTAGCCATATGCCACCAGGAGAAATAGAGAAATAGGTGTCAGTAATTGAAGTGCCAGGGGCTCCTCGGGGCCCATTTCTGACTGAATCAGATCCTGGTGACAATCTGTTGAATGCAGTGGATGAAACTTTTTATCTCTGGGGCAGAGGTGGACTTATTAATGGAAGCCTAGTGGCCTTTGTCATAATGTTTGGTCGCCCTTTAGACTAATCCACAGTCCTCTTCCCAACAAATACATTAGATATTAGAAGAGTTCTTCATCATTATTAGGCCTAGACCAGCAGTCGCCAACTGGTGGCCCGTGGATCACTAGTGGTCAGTGATGTCTGAAAAGTTGGTGACCGCTGGTTTAAGGAAACCTTTGGAGCAGTGGTTGCCAACTGGTGGTCCGTGGACCATTGGTCGTCTGTGAGGTCCAAAAGGTTGGCGACCTCTGGCCTAGACCATACCTCACTCCTGTCTGCTGCCTCTCACTGGCCAGGGCCTCTTTGGTTCCTCATTCTGTTCCTACCTACCCCACCTCCTTTTTCCATGCCAATTTCACTATTGTTTCTTAACTTTCCTAATCTTACTTATATCTGTATTAATTTCTTTTGGTTGCTGTAACAGATGACCACAAACTTAGTGGCTTAAGACAGCACAAACATCTCAGAGTTCCAGAGGTCAGAAGTCCAAAATCAGTTTTGTTGAGCTGAAATCAAGGTGTAAATAGCCCTGGTTTCTGGTTTCTTCTGGGGGTTCTGAGAGGTGAATCTTGTTTCCTTGTGTTTTTCAGCTTCTAGTGGCTGCTGGTATTCCTTGGCTTGTGGTCCCTTCCTCCACCTTTTTTGTTTTGTTTATTTGTTTGTTTGTTTTTAACATTTTAAAAACAATATTTTAAATTGATTCCAGAGAGGAAGGGTGGGGGGGGGAGAGAGAGAGAGAGAGAGAGAGAGAGAGAGAGAGAGAGAGAAACATCAGTGATGAGAGAGAATCATCAATCGGCCGCTTCCTGCACCCCCCCCCCCCCCACTGGGGACCCAACCCGCAACCCAGGCATGTGCCCTTGACTGGAATCAAACCTGGGACCCTTCAGTCTACAGGGCCAAACCCGCTAGGGCCTTTCCTCCATCTTCAAAGTGCATCCCCCCACTCTGTCATCACATCACCTTCTCTGACTCTGACCCTCTGGCCTCCCTCTTATAAGGAATATTATGATTATATTGGGCTCACTTAGATAATCCAAGGTAATCTCCCCATCAAGATCGTTTAAATATAATCACATCTGCAAAATCCCTTTTGCATATCTAAGATCTAAAACATAAAGGAAGATAGATGTCCACTTTCCTTATTTATAAGAGTTGGGACAGGAACTCTTCCTTAAATAAGAGCTTTATTTCTTTGGTACTTTGAACCTGTGTGCATGTGTTTTCTCTCTTCTAATTACAAAATCGATAATTGTTGAATCTTAATGTCTTTGGGTACCTGTTCAACACTGAACCTTGAATAAAGGTGACAAAATCACCACTCTGACTATCACTCATTCCCAAAAGGTGATGCTACCTTACCTGACCCAGCCCAGTTTTCCTTTGGCAGATAAGGTGATGAGTGCCTGTGAGGGTCTGAGGGTCTGGAAGAAGGTTCCTGGACATCCAGCCACATTTGCAGGTCTGATTTTAAAGAGGTGAAGAGGGAGAAAGAGAGAGCAACATCAATTGGTTGCCTCCTGTATGTGCCCCGACCGGGGATTAAGCCCACAACCTGGGTATGTACCCTGATTGGCTTCAACCTGCCACATTTTGGTGTATGGAACGGGACGGTGCTCCAACCAAGCCACACCAGCCAGGATTGTATTCAGTTCTTCAGATGTAGGTTCCTCCTGCCCCCTTCACCTATGCATGGTTCCACTAAAGAGTCTCAGCACAAAACACTGATCTGCTGACTTGGAATCAGCTACCCCTTGTAAAAAAAAAATATTATTGTGTGCTGTTTTATGGCTGAATAGTATTTTATTGTATGGATAGATCATGTTTTGTTTATCCATTCATTAGTTGATGTACTTTTGGGTTGTTTCTACTTTTTGGCCATTATGAATAATGCTGCTATGAACATTCATGTACAGGTGTTTTGCAAATACCTTAATTTCAAAAACCCAATGAAAAGTTTGTCAGAGAGCCTAGAGTCTTGTGAGAGTAGTGCCATACACTAGTGCTTCTAGAGTACCTGCAAGCAAGAATAGGTGCAGAGGTCTAGGGAAGGGCTTACTCTAGAAGATGGGAGAGACCAGGATAGCAGAGGGACAGCATCCCCTTCAGGAGCAGCTTTAAGGAGGGCAGAACATCTAAAGATGGTTACAAATTAGGGCTCACCATGTCCCACTGGGAGGTATGAGAACAGGGGCATGGGACATGGGCATGTCTGTTGCGGGTGATGGGCAGGCACCTGTACTAAGGATTCAGCCTGTTCAGGAGAGGACAGGAGCAGTATGCTTGCATCATTAGGAGGGAAAATCTGAGTGGATGGATTCTGAGAGTGACACACTCTTAGGAAATGATAGAGCTCAGGAAGTGATACTGCAGAGAAGTAGAGTTCATGCAGAGTGTGGGTGTTCAGGCCAAAGACGATGCCCTGGGGGAGGTATTAACCATTTGGAAAACTATAAGAAAGGAGTGTCCAGAGGCAGTTCAGCGTAGCCAAGTGTTTTTAGTCTGCTTGGGCTTCTATAACAAAATACCACAGATTTGGAGGCTTATAAACAACAGATATTTCTTATAGTTCTGGAGCTTGAAATCTAAGATCAAGGAGCCAGCATAGGCAGGTCATGTTCTGATGAGAGTCCTCTTCCTGGTTCATAGCAGGCTGAGTTCTCTGTGTCATGTGAGCATGATGGAAGGGGTGAGGGAGCTCTCTGGGGTCTGTTTTATAACGGTCCCATTCATGAGGGCTCCACCCCCGACCCCCAAGAACTAAGTACTTCTAAAAAATTCCTGCCTCCTAATACCATCATCTTTGGGGGTTAGGATTTCAACATATGAATTGTGGCAGGGCTGGGGGGCACACAAACATTCATACCATGCACCAAGTGTGAATGAACTTTGGCTTTGGACAGACCTAGATCTAATCCTGGCTCTAGTTCCCCTTTCAAATCTGTTTCTTCAACTCAATAAGGTTTAAATAAGAAAATCTGAGTTATGTCTCAGCATGATGAGTATCCTAGCTAATGCAAAGGCTCCATGGAGCATAAATGCCTCATTCCTTAAGAGGCCTGGTCCCCCCTCGGGGTGGCTCTCAGGGGTCTGGTCCAGATATTACTGGAAGTGTGGACCAGTCAGTGGGCAAGGCTGCCTCAGGCAAGGCCAATCTACAGCAAAACTGGGAAGGTGATCAAGTCTGCCTCTAACTACATTTACAAACCTTTTCAAAATCGCAGACTAGCTCTAGCCGGTTTGGCTCAGTAGATAGAGTGATGGCCTGTGGACTGAAGGGTCCCAGGTTCAATTCCAGTTATGGGCACGTACCTCGGTTGCAGCCTCCTCCCTGGCCCAGGCCCTGGTAAGGACTCATGTAGAAGGCAAACAATCAATGTGTTTCTCTCACATCAGTGTTTCTCTCTGTCTTTCTCTCTCTTCTACTCTCTAAAATCAATGGAAGAATATCCTTGGGTGAGGATTAAAAAAAAAAATCAGGCCGAAACCGGTTTGGCTCAGTGGATAGAGCGTCGGCCTGCGGACTGAAAGGTCCCAGGTTCGATTCCGGTCAAGGGCATGTACCTGGGTTGCGGGCATATCCCCAGTAGGAGATGTGCAGGAGGCAGCTGATCGATGTTTCTCTCTCATCGATGTTTCTAACTCTCTATCTCTCTCTCTCTTCCTCTCTGTAAAAAATCAATAAAATATATTAAAAAAAAAATCAGTCTATTGCTGAAAGAAAAACCAAGATTGTCCACAGTCCAGCTGTTGTATAGATCCTTCTACCATACCTTAATAGACCATCATCCAAGTTCTTGTTAGAAATTTTCATAGATGGGGAACTTGTCACTTTACAACATACAACATTTCATTTGGGGACTGTCATTGTTTTAAATTCTAAGATGCTGGACTTTCAGTCATATAGGCCTTTGCCTCTGGATCCCTGGTTGCTTCTGTCAATACGTTGGAGAGGCAATGGGCAGGGGCAGAGAGCTGGGAATGAGGGGGATCATGTTACAGCTTCTAGAATGCCCCACACAAAGGCTTTGTAAAAATCTGTCAGTCTTTTTTATTTTTAAACTTTTAAGGTTGGCACTATTGCAGATGTCCCCTATTTTCCCCCTCTATGGCCACTTCCACCCAACCCCACCTCCACCTCCCTTGGCCTTCACCACACTATTGTCTGTGTCCATGGAGTATGCGTATAGTGTATGTTCATTAGCTAACCCCCTTACCTTCTTTATCCAGTCACCTCCTCCCCTCCCTCTGGCACCCAGCAGTCTGTTCCATGTATCCATGCTTCTGGTTCCATTTTCTTGGTCAGTTTTATTTTGTTCATTAGTGAGATTATATGGTATTTGTATTTCTCTGACTGACTTATTTTGCTTAACAGTATTCCATTGTGTAAATGTACCACAGCTTTTTTATCCTCTCATATGCTGATGGGAAAATCTGTTGGTCTTAGCTCCTCAACACAGAGAAGGATCCCACAAGGGAAGTTTGTTTTCAGGATGAAGGTGAAGTAAAACATTTGGAGACTTAGACATCTCTGCAAAACATGCCCCTGTATGTCTAGTTCTGAGGCATATACCGCACTGAGCAAGATAATTCCCTGGGAAAGAGGTTTTTTTCTAGAAGATGACAGTAAGAGTCCTCTCTGATCCAGGAATTGAAGGTCATAGGTCAACCAGAAGCCAGATATGTACCCTTAGGAAAGGGATATCAGAGCCAAGGAGAAAGTCCTTTCTGTTGGAGAAGTTTGCTCCTAGAGAGTAAGGGACCTCTTGAGGCAGGTGGATGGGATAGGACAGTTGTATCCCAAAGGATACTTGGAGGACAGCTTCATACCAGCTGGGACTGTACCTAGGGACATCACACTCTGTCCGTAGGGTGTTGTTGGGCACCTGGGTCCTCCAACTTCTGGCTGTTTTTTCCTAGAAACAGAGAAAGTACAGGTGAACAGGAAAAGCTTACTATACATGGGGTCAGCTGACACATTAGCTGAGGTCCTTGTAAGGTTCTCCATTAGAGAAGTCAGCCCACTGCCCTGTGCTCTTTCCAGAAGTCTCCAACCAATAAACTCCACGTCATCATGTAGCTCCCAGCTCTCCTCAGAAGAACATAGACTCCCTGACCTTCCTAGCCAGATGAAATCTCTCTCATAGCATGATGTGCCTCTTCTCTATGGCATGCACCATACTGCAATGTTACACTCACTTGTGATTAAAGCATCTCCCTAGAAAGTTTAGAAAAAACTGTAAATTCATGAGGAGGCAATAGGTCTTCTCTCCACAAAGCTAGCAACCATCATCTCTGCTTTCTCATCCCACTAAAACAGTTTTGCCTTTAAATCTATCTCGAAGTCAACCCTTTTTTCTCATTCCCATGACCCCCACTACAGGCCCTCATCTCTCCCTCACTATATTATAGCAGCCTCCTGAGTGTCTGTCATCTTTGGCTGGTCCTAATCTGTAGCATTTGGTTGCAGAATTATCAACACAATGCAGGTCACTTTGAAAACTCTGTCCCTACCTTTCTGTCCCACCACCACACGGGAGCGCCCCTCATCCTAGGGTGGCGTGCTGGATTGCTGATGGCCCCCAAACTGACCCAAATAGTGGGGAGCAGAGCCCGGTGTCTCCCCTGCTGGGCTTGGGACTTGATGGGCAGATGGGGCATAGGCACCAGTGCCTATGGATGAGGAGCGGACCCCTCTACAGAA